GACCGAGATTGTACCAGTCCATCCACCATAGGAAGAGTCTAACTGGAACTCTTAGGGCGGTGTAAATCCCTAAACCTAGTTGGATTCGAGAATTGTCTTGGTAATCTCATATCTATAAATAGGGTAGCTCATCACAATTCAGGAATGCAACCTATAGCTAAACAAACTACCTTCCCAAACTTTCTAGCAACACTTTTGCTGACTTAAGCATCAGAGCGTCTACCCTCGGGAAACCCCGAGGCCCTGTTTTGCAGGAAACCCTAATCAGAGTTCCACCGTTTAATCGACGGCGCATATCCAAGCATCGTCAAACACGAATTGAACTAGGAGAAGTGGTATAATTACTTCTGCGTGCATTAAGTTTTGAGTTCAAAGCTTTTAATGCTTGAATGATGTATGTATTGGAGAATATGATGATTTATTTTATGTTGCGTTCAAAGTAAGGATGCCTACAATGTCGATATTACAATTCGGATCAGCGAGTAATCTTAATGAAGCAAAAACTTGAAGTTTTTATGCTATAAAGTTTAAACAGGGTTTTGTCACTGCAGTTAATTTCGAGCTTTAACATTTCTTTCTTCTGTTTACTATTCCGTCTATAAAAAAAAAAAAAAAAAAGTTAACCGATAATCAGTTTTAAAAATTGCACTAAACTTAATACGAATCTCAAAATTCAATGTGAATTATTATTATTATTATTATTATTATTATTATTATTATTATTATTACTATTATTATTATTATTATTGTTATTATTATTATTATTATTATTATTATTATTTGCAACAAATGAAGTAGTAAAAGGCTGCATGGCCTGCATTTCATGTTAATTGGATGAGAAATAATCATCAAGAACGTGGGTTCGAGTTTCTTAATCTATTGGATATGTAGTGCTTAAGCGGAAAAGTTGTTATACAATCAAATTTGTCAATTGGCAATTTTCTTATGCTATTTCAAATAAAAATTTAAATTGGACAGTAATTTCCAGATAAAGAGAGTAACTTTTACAATACGTTATTAATTGCAACTCCAACCATCTCATCAACTACCCAAAACGTACCATATTTACGCCTATGATCAGCAAACATAAAATTATGAGAAAGTGCAAACAACGCACATAGTCACATATTACCTGCCACTTTTTTTTCTCTCTTTATAAACATCATAATTGTAGGCAGTGTCAGCTGGAGGAAGAAGAAAAACAGGAAAGTTTCATACTTTTATTTTGTCACTTTCATCTTTCTTCACCATTGCAATTTCTAAAGCTGATTAGGAAGAGAATAAAAGGAGGTGCGTCTTTGTTCAACATCTGTGTTTTTGTTTTCTTTCTTTTTTTAACCATTTTTCTTGTTATTTTAATCATGTTAATTAATCTCCATTATTACGGTTCGTTCTCCTTTTCTGGTTCTTGTGGTGTTGATGACTCCGGAGTACCGGTAAGGGAACCCTCACTGACGTAAAGGAGATTTTTTTTAAATCGTTGTTTTTCACAAATGGTCTTGAGAAAATAATCTTAATGGCAATTGTGTTTTTTTTTTTTTTTCAGATATATTCAAACTTTATATCCCTTTACAAGGTTGATCTGCATTTGAATGTGACTTTTTTATCTAGGATTTTCGTGTTTATAATATTATATACATATGCATAAAGACCATCTGCGACGACCTTGTAATGTACATTCATTTGCCGATCCGAATATAGAACATGAACAATTCTTGGTGATTGAGTTGTTACAAATTTCCAAGAAATGATTATTCAGGTCGTTCATCTTTTGTACTACAACTTTTGAAGATCGAATCTCAATCCATGTGACCCCAGTTGCGATATTGAAGCATTTGAAAGGGGCCACAGAGAACAAACAAGTATATATATATATATATATGATCATATCAGATCCAGCGGAGATGATTATTGAATTTGAGACCGGAGATTGGAGTTTGAATCCCGTGTTCAATTAATGTTTTAAGCTTTCCAGAATTCTTTGCTAAATATTTTGGATCAAAAGTTGCCATGGCTTCGTGGCAAAGGAAGCTCTCAGGTCGGATCTGCACTCAGTACCCAGTGGCTGAGATCTGAGATCATGTTGAACTCAACATTTCGTATCGGGCGGACTACATGTGTATAATATCCTGGTTAAATACACTTGAAATGAAATGCTTTGTTACTTAACTGCCCTTTTTCAATTGGGCTCAACACACAACTATCTTTATCAATTTATTATTTTGTCTATTATGTTGTTTCTTTCGTCTCTCTATCCTTTGACACAATGTGCAATATAGTTCCATTGTTTCGAAATAATTATTCTACTTTTCTATACAACAAACATAATATTCATTACTTTACTGTAATTAAAACACTAATTAGAGTATTAATGACGCAGCGAAAAAATCTACTATGAGCAACTTCCTCCGCGCTTACATAGACATCAACTCCATTCCCTTTCTGTGATGTATTTTTGGTGAGCAACTCTCTATAATAATACATCAAAGAGTCTTATCTTTTATTTCTTTGAAAAAAGAAAAGGAAAAACCATTCAACTCAAAATCGGGAACCCAAAAAACCGTCACTATTATTGAAATTACCTCATTATTTGCAAATGATCATTTTCCTATCAAATCTACTTAATTTGATAAGGATTTTACAAAGGTTTTAATTTTATTTTATTTTTTCATACTCAGGAGGCTAAAAAGCCTAATAATTACTCCCTCCGTCCCAAAATTATTGTCCAGTTGGAGTTTTCATTTTTAGTTCAAATTGTACTAAAAGTGAAATCTCAAACTGGACAATAATTTTGGGACAGAGGGAGTCCAATATTCGCCATATATTTTCCTCATATATATCTTGCCAAAACACTATTACAACGTTATCTACTTTTAGTAGATTGATCGAAATACTCCGCTTGGGCCTAAACCCATAAATTCATGATAACCTTTCTATATATTCAGTACTAGACCAATAATGAACCATTTGGAACATCTCAATTACTTCAAACATTCCAAGACAGTGACCTCAATCGCTTCCAATCAAGTTATCACAACCAGTAGCCCAAAGGTTTAAAATTTTACATAAAGTGATATTCATAAATCACAAGAGCTTTAAATTTGAGTGTGCAACAAGGCATTATGTGAGCTACATTTAGCAAACATACACAGTTATGGGCCGAAGCCTTCTGGAGATTTCAACCATTTGGACCAAATAAAGCCCAATTAATTTATAAAAAACGGCGTCGTAAATGGAGCTGATCCTACAATCTCAAGAGAAGGTATACGTGGCACACTGCAGAAAGCCCAATCAATCAGAAGTCTCCAAACTGTAAAAACAGCCAAGTTCCCAACTCTTCTTCCTTCTTCATTCCAACTAACTCCAGAGCTCAAAATTTGCCCAATCCAACTGCTGATTTCTTCCAAATTCTTTTGCTCTTTGGATTCTCAGTGAAGAACCAAACACACCAGTAAAAAAAGTTTTATTTGGTGTGACATTCAAACATTTGTGATTTGATATGATTTCCTGAAAAAAAAAAAAAGAGACTTACTTAGCACTAGCAGAGCTGAAGATTGAAAAAAAAAATAAAAAATGGTGGGCTTGGAGGTTCAAGTACCCCAAGTGGTGCTAACATCAAGTAATGGAAATTTAAGGAGCAGAGAGAAGTTTAGAAGTTTCCCTTTTTGTGGTTCTTCGGTTTGTTCTCCTAGAGGGCTTGTATCACCCTTACCAGCATCATCCGCTTCTTCATTACCTTCACTTTGTGAGTTTCAATTCACCACATTTCTCTCTTGGGTTTCTTTTGTTTTTATTGTTAAGTTAAGAAAAGACGAATCTTTGGTCATTTCGAGCTTTTTCGGTTCATTGGGATACCTTGAAATGGATCATGGATGCTGTTTTTTTTTTTTTTTTGTGGAAGAATCAATTCTATTTTCTTGTAGTTGCTTGGTTACTGAATTGGTTTCTATCAAAGAAAGAGAAAATTTGCACCTTTTTCTCTTACCTTACTGTAGCAAGCAGGCTAATTTAAGCGTGTGAGTGAAAAATTGTTTTCCTTCTTTCTTCTTCTGAGACTGATATTTTGTGTTTTAGATTATGAAATTGTGGAATCAAGAGTTACGTAATTGCTTTTTCTGTGAGGTTATGGTGTGACTGTGATTCCTGTACATTTACACTTTTCAAGTCCTTTCCTCAAATATCATTGCTTTCTACCAACAAGGGTACATAGCTAGATCTCATGTTAGAACAAGGGTAGTAGTAATGTGGCATTTCGGTATCAGTTGAGGATTGCATTTCTCTTTGACTTTTGAGCTCTAAGTGGGAAGAACTCAAGTACTAATAGACAATCATGAGAACAGTAGATTTTTTTTTATTTTACGATTATTATTGGCTGGAATCATAAATGGATTGTCTAAAGGCCAATATGCAAAGGAATTCCTAAGACTCTACTATGTTACAATAATTCTTAGCTGGAGAGTTGAGTAAACTGATAAGATTCAATTAGAAGGTGTAGGCCTATAGTGAGAAGGTGAGATGAGATGGGTGGTGAGGGGAACAAGAGCCTAGAAAGAAAGGTGGAACTCATGTTTCAGTCTGGATATTAGAGGACTCTTTTGCATCATTTTTTATAGTTTCCCTGAAATGAAATTCTATCCGACAGTTATATTTGAAATACATTAAGTTTAATTTTTATGTCAGTAACTTGGGTTTTGGTGAAGTTTTCAATTTTATGATCTGCTTATCTTGTTCCCTGTGGCCAACACTAACTTAGAATATTTATAGTGCGATGTATGCGAATATCTAGGTCATCTGTAAGGCAGAAGATAATAACAACTCATGCATCTAATGTTGGTGTTGGATCTGGTAGCTTTGAAGGGAACCACGAAGACAACCAAAAGAAAATGTAAAGTTTTCTTTTTCTTCTTTTCCTTTTAGGTTTTGTAGACGGGTTGTAGTTATTGTTAGTGGACATTGGAAAAGCTTTAGAATCTAATGCAATTGCAATCCCTACCCTTTTCATGAATGACAGTGAAAATCCCCCCGATCGAATTCCTTATCCTCTCTCTATAGCTCTTGTGCTATGTGGATGTGCTTTAGTATTTTCCCTGATTGCCTTCTCAAAAGGGAATCCTGCCGCTCTTTTAGGACCAATTGCGAAGTCCGGCTTCACTGCAGCATTCTCGTTGATTTTTGTTTCAGAGATTGGGGATAAGGTACAGGGTCCACCAAAGCTGGAATTTGTTTAATGTTTCTTCATGCTGTTTGGCCTCTTTTCTGTCATATTTAAGTTTGATAGGCTAGATTAGTTTCTTTTGTCCTAATTCAGCTCGTTAAATTAAAAAATTTTCTTTTGTTTGTTTGATTTGGCAGACATTTTTTATTGCTGCATTACTGGCGATGCAGTATGAAAGAATACTGGTACAATGCTCTACTGTACTTTCTCTATGCTTTCTTTACATGAACTTCTTTAAGTTCCTTACTAGCAGTTAATAAGTCTTCTGAGATTCTTGTTGTCCACCTTGATCCTCAGATGTGCTGTAATTGCATGCATTCAACGTGTTAAGATAGTGTCCTATATCTCTGTATTCCTGTCTAATGATTTATGTTCCAAATCTTATGAAGCAAAAGAGACGAAGAAAAGATAATAGAGGGGATTATTGAATGTAGGGAATCAAGTGAAAATCAAACTTGAAAAAAGTAGAATTTTCCTGTATCAGTTCATGTGCTTGGGAAACCTAAACTATTGAAACACTTTTTACACCAGAACACATTATTTTTATGCAAATACGAGTTAAACCTGGACAGAGCTCCGGCAAATATTGGTAACCATTTCTGTTACCAATGTGTTATCACTAGCTCCGGCACTAAATAAAGCTTGATATATGAATAGTCCATTTCATTTCATAATTATGATTGAAACTAAATTTTTACTGCACAGTTTAGTTAATAGAAAGCTCCACTGGTGCATGGTTTTGACCGCGGGAATAATTTTAACAGCTGTTTCATTTTGTATCAGGTTCTTTTAGGGTCCATGGGTGCTTTGTCTCTAATGACAGTCCTGTCTGTCATTATAGGACGGATATTTAATTCAGTGCCTGCTCAATTTCAAACTAGTGAGTCAAGCTCTATTTTTACTTCTCAGCTTATCTGCTTTATAAACAATAGCAACAGCTGGATAACCTTATCATTGCAAAAGATCTTTAAACAGATAATGAGAAGGAAGACAAACATAGGATGAAATAGATTATATTGCAGTTCAAAAGCATGCTTAAGCTCCCTCAGGCAATGAAATTTATATGACCTTTATTTCTCAATATAACTGGTACATGCAAAGCGTTTTTCTTCTTTGAATTTTGTATGTTGAGTCACTGTTGAACTGAATTTTTTTGCAATATGGTCATGCATTATAAATCCCAAATCTTAGTTTTCAATGTTGTATTTCCTCCGCCTAAAAGTATAAGACTCCCAGCATTTTCTCCTTTATCTTTAGACCGCTACCTAGTTCTGTATGGTTGCACTCATCTTGTTATATGTCCTATTTGGCAACCAGCTGTCCCTATTGGAGAATATGCTGCTGTTACACTTCTGTTATTCTTTGGCCTGAAGTCAATCAAAGATGCATGGGATATTCCATCTGATCCGGCCAAAGCTGGTGACAAGAATGGTAATGAGCTTGATGAATATGCAGAAGCTGAGGAGCTTGTAAAGGAAAAGGTATTTGAATGAAACTTCATTCATCATAGCACATCCATCTGTTATCATGTCTGAGATTTTTTATTTTTTTTTTCATGAAATTGCACTTAAAACGTGGTTTAAAAGAAAGAAAGCAATTTCACCAAAAAAAAAAAAAAAAAGAAAAGAAAGAGAGCATCTGTCTCATCTTTACTTCTAGTTACCCAATGTCTTTCCCCTCTCTGCATACTGAAACTGGTATTTTCCTATGCTTGCTTGTCACTCTGTTCCCATTGTTGACAACAAATTGTTATATATCTTCATCCACCTTCTGCATTTATTTCATCTTTCTTACCTGGGCAACATTTATCTTTTGATGATAAAATTCTACAACACATCGTCCAGTTTCAGAGACATCATATATAATTGAAATGATAAAAGAATGATTTATTGGCTTTCATGAGGATTTTGTGTCTTTTGATTCGTCCATTGTAGCTGACATGGTTTGTTGCATCCATAATTTCTTCAGATGTCAAAGAAGCTCACAAACCCTCTTGAAATTTTGTGGAAATCATTCAGCCTCATATTTTTTGCAGTAAGCACGATGTACCCTTTGATGCTTTATTTACTTCTTTTCTGTATTCTTCGTTCCACTGTTTTGCTTTTTGTTTTGCAAACAAATGAAACAGTTCTTATTTATAGGGAACACAACTGGGTGAAGTAAGTTCTCATAATTTATTGTTGCTTCTTACAGTCACCCATGTTGTTGTAGTTAAAAAGAATAGCCAATAATCATGTGAAGTTAATTCACTGTATAGGTTCCCTACTCGTAAGTGAACTGCAAAAATACTATCCATGTCTCTTCATACCAAAGCAGTAGCTGCTAGAAGCTTGACTTCTACAAAGTATTCGTGATTGTAAAGGTGGCAGATAAATCCATTTTACTGTTCTGTTCTTTCTTCACAGGAATGGGGAGACCGCTCTATGCTTGCAACAATAGCCTTGGGTGCGGCACAGGTATAGTTTTCTGCTTGGGGTTTTCAAGTTACTACGTTCTTTAATGTTCTTACCCAACAACTCAATTTTCTTTGTCTTGTTATAGTCTCCATGGGGGGTGGCAAGTGGAGCAATTATAGGACACCTGATTGCCACATCGATTGCTATAATGGGCGGTGCATTTCTTTCGAAATATATATCCGAAAAACTGGTGAGTAGCATGGGGTCAAAGAACACCTGCAGTTACACATTACTCAATAAAATTATAATTTGACTTCTAATGTGTCCGAAAAACTGGTGAGTAGCATGGGGTCAAAGAACACCTGCAGTTACACATTACTCAATAAAATTATAATTTGACTTCTAATGTGTCCATCTGTGATTGTTACTCAGGTTGGTTACGTGGGTGGAGTTTTGTTTATTGTCTTCGCTGTTGCCACATTTTTTGGTGTCTTCTGATGAAGCATTAGATATCATCTACAAAGAAATTGGAGGGTGATTGAGGAGACCAAAAATGAGATAGCCAAATTACTGTAAAGGAACATTTGCTGCCGCTGGTTATGGAGGTCAAGGACTTCGTCTCTAATGTTGGTGAACATCGAAAACACCAGGATAGTAGCACAGTGAGTGGATTTATCGAAGTTCATTAGATTAGAGGATGTAAACAGTAGATCATCGCTTACACCCTGTTTCATATAGAAAATTTTCCAGACATGCGATTTATTGATGTATTTAAGGCATTTTGTAATAACTTGAAAACTGCAGAAGACAAGAGAAACAAGCTACAAGCTACGATTGGCTTGCATTTATCATAACTCAACATGTTGAAGAACATAAAAGGTTCAGTACAGAAAACAAGCAAGATTATCTGAGATTTGTTGGCAATTGTTGAAAGAGCAAGACATTAGCAAAAGGCAATGTCAACTAGTAACTGTGTCTCCTTTTTACATACACTTTCAATAAAGCAGGGCAAAATATAAGAGTATTACATTAGTACACCTTGAACTAAGTACCTAGGCTAATCATTGCTTACAAGGATTTCATGAAAGGCAAAATTCCATGTTGCAGGAGCGTTTGAAGAAGCATTTTCTGCAACATTGGGCATTTCTTTTATGTTACTAGTACAATAAATATACAACACATACAACAAAAGAATTTTAACCTACACTATCAAAGAATTATATAAGTAATAATCAATGCACCACAAAATTACAAAATGGTGCATCATCGTTTTTCTCTTTTTCTGACTTGTTTCCACGCTCTTCTGACTTCATTTACCTATCCGTACCTTCTCTGTATTCTCATCTCATGAGTTATCAACAACACATTGGTGGGACTGAAGTGTTTCTCTGGATAGAAGACCAACAAGGCGTTTTTCAAGCCTTTTAGCTCCCTTGCCCGGCCTCAAAACATCGGCATCACCCCAAACCTTGCACACATCGCGCCCAGGATCACCTAAACACCAGCCCCCAGGCACAGGTTTTTCAGGAGCACGGTGAAGAATTTTTTTGTCTATCCTATCTAGAATGGGATCATTTGGAAGGAAAGGGGAAGCAAAAGCTGATCCACTCCGTACTAGATCATTGTAGTAACTCATATTAAGTGGGATGGGATCCTTTCTTAGGTTTAAAGAAACATAATGCAAGCTGTGATTGATTGTAGTTCTATTGAACTGCCGAGAATTACACAGAATTGTCGGAAAGTAAACAGATTCTGAGGCCGGGGTGTTTGCCAGGTACATCAACACAGTCCTAGGCAGATTATCTGTACCTAAGATGTTGAATTCAATGAACTTGCGGCTCAAAATAGCTGATGATGAACCTGAGCACAATAAAGTGAAATTCTCAGTTAGAGATCTCCATGATTTTCTGGAATCAAATCTGTCAACACTAATCAGTTGATGTAAATAGCAGGGAAGTCTAACCAAGGAGACGAAAAGGGAAAAAAAAATAAAAAACAAAACCTAAAACAGTTCAATTCGTTGCAAAAGAATGTAGCTGATAATTCCAAACAGCAGCCTCGGCACACCTGTAGGAATCAAGCGAAAGGAAAACCTTTGAACTCTCACCCTAAAAGACTTATTTACTCTATCCAGCAAGATAGAAATATCCTGCTATTTAACTTTTGTCCCCACCAAGTACCAAAAGTGGAAACATATCATTTTTGTTCCTTAATTCGAAAACAGTACAGAACCATAAATCATAATTTTTTGTTTGTAAAACTCAAGATTTGCGTATTGATACATACATTACTATATCTTGCATAGTAGGTTCAAAGTATCCACAGAAATTAAGACAAATTTCCTAACACCAATATTGTTCACCCCATTCTCTCGCCGATCTTTCTCATCCAATTGCTCATGATAAATAAATCAATAAGAAGACGAATCAGACTAAAGCAGCAGTGGTGCTCTTTGGATTTTACTAGAGCAGACATTATTTCCAAGTCAAGCTAGCATCTTTCGACCAGAAAGTTTAACAATCAAGCGAATCGGAGTAAACTGTATTGTATGAAAGGAGTTTCAGGAACAGTTTCCTTCAGGATTCCAGGAGGAGCTGTTTTGTCAGCATTTCAAACTTGCCAGTCACATTCTGTAATCTATCATATGGATTAACCACAGAAGAAGTGAATGTATGTTCTTTCCTAATAATCCGTCTACAGGGTTTCTTTTCAGGATAAACAAGTAAAAAATTTTACAAGTTTCACAAATATCAAAGGTTCATCACGCTCGTATTTCCTGACAGGTTATATTTAGCAGATTTCAGTAACAGCATTCTCTGTTGTCTTTTTATCCATTGTTCAAAAAGCAGAAATTCCACAGCACCAGAAAGGGAGGACAAGAAGTAGTACACATCTTGACTCCAGAAATGAAGCTATGAATAAGTAATCGCTCATAATGCCACAAGCAAGTTTCAAAACAACAATTCCAACTGCTTTGTTGGGTATTCTTAATAGACCAGTAACTACTCTCGTCAGCTGTATGTGATAAGAGATCCCTAACAAGTTCAGAAATAAAATACCTTTACATTTGATAAGAATTCATCACACATTCAAATTAAAGGAAACTTCAAGCTCACTCAAAACATTGAAAGCCTTTTACCAGTAAGAAAGCAATATAAAACTTGTTATTGCAAAATAAAGGCATGAGTCTACCTTACACAAAGACAAAGTGATTTCTTGCATTTTACTCTACAGAATGATTTGCAAAAGCATTATTGAACTTGAAGACTCACCAGTGAACAGATGGAATGCATCTGGGAGAGGCCTTTTCTGAGTGGCATAAAACACCTCATTTTCCTCTGTCAAATACAGCCCAGGATCAACTATTATTGGTTTCAACTTCCTCGACCTGCCACAGCCAATAAACAAAATATTTTTATTAGCTCCGCCATAGATGATAAAAACTGATACTGTCACTAATCAATTGCAAATTTTAAATCCAAACAACAAAAGTGGTTAAGAAGACGCGTTTAGCTCTTACTCAATCCATCCAATATAGCTTGTGTGGTTAACGAAATTGAGGTCCCTAGGCAAATATGACAATATGTGCAAAAGATCTGCAAATAACGAAATCACTAGCATCATCATAACAGATACCAAAAATAAATCATAGACACCATGGAACCTTTCACCTAACACCAATCAAGAAAGGGACGTTCTATTCTATACAGATCAAAATGGCAATGCAAAAGGTCAAAAAATGAAAAGACAACAATTACACGATTTCTATATCAGTAAGCAATGAGCTGAGGGAATTAAAGTATCAAAGGAATGAAAGACCGTCCTCCAAAGCCGCATACTAATGTCCAAAAGTAACAAAATGCAAAAGCATACTTGAACAATGTGTGTAACTAGGATGAAGAAGATAGAAACATTACCATCTTGAGTAACAAGTGGGTAATCATCAACAGAGAGATTGATGAACCAATCCCAATTATCAGAAATCCGCATCAAAATGGAAGCTCCATGAAGAATTGAAGAAACAGAAGACGACCCATCTCTATAAACAACATCAGCCCTTCCTACAACATTGACATTCTGGGCAGCTTTAAACAGTGGAAAAGATTCGATTTTGCGAGCTAAAGAATCCCGTTCATCTTGAGAAGCTCTGAAATCAAGGTGCAGGAGGTAAGTATTCTTGGGATGGTAGATTGCTAGCAGTAGCCGGAAAATCCGACCCGTGTCATTACAGGATCCGGAAATGAGGTAGGCAATGGAAGGAGGAGTGGGAGGGGCAAGTGGGTTTTTTCCGGCATCGCCAGAAGTGTCGCCGGCGGGGGCGTTGAGGAAGAGGAGACGGTGAGGAGAGTTGGGAGGGAAGAGTGAAGGATGACGTGGAGGAAGTGATGGAGAAGTGGATGCAGAGAAGGAGTAGATTAGGAAGAGAGATATGAATGTGGTGGTAAGGAGGATGCAGGGAGTGGAAAGCTTCAGAGTAGTGGTGGCGGCGGCGGTGGTGGTGGCGGTGGCGGTGGCGGTGGCGGAAGGTGGTTGATGGAGGTTTTGCATTTGCAACGGCGGAGTTGGGGCTGAGTTGGACGGCGGTGAGTGGTGGGGATTGTTCGTGTTGGTGGGTGTTTGTTGTTTTGTGTCAGGTTAGTGACACCAGACGTTTGTTTCGGAGTTGATGACACGATCATTAAAAAGGAAAACTTTGACACGAGCACAAAAAATTGTAGGAAGAAGAAAGGAATAATATAACTTTGGGACTTTAGGAATAATAATTAGTTTCTAAGATTCGATTATCTCATTGTTTATTTCATGTATTCAACTGATTAGCAAGTGTAAATCAAACCACCTTGACCTCAATGATTCAATCACAATTGACATATAAATTGTTTGCAACATCAATTATAGAATAAAGCCATCTTAAGAAATAAAAAATAAAACTTTTGTCCCATCATTATTGTAAAGTTTAAGTTTTCATTTCTTTTTAGTTCAAATTGTAGTTAAAGTGAAATCTCAAACTAGACAATAATTTTGAGACAGAAAGAGTACATACCCTCTAATCCTAATTATGAGATATAAATTTTAAATTAATTTTAATGTTAATTTATGTTTTTAATTAGGACAGGAGGAGATAATATAATTTGTGGATTTTACAAGATCTACTAGTTTTTTATACGAAAAAAATTAGGTTGAGTTGTGGTTGCAATTCTATTCAATAACGTTTACCAATTATTCCAATTGATGATATGTTTATTTGTAATATTCACCCAAAGAGTCTTGAAACTATGGTTTGAACTTTGAACTTTGAACTGGAGTTTGATTCGTGATTGGATTTCTTATTGTCAAACTTACTTCATGTTGTTTTTCTTTGTCACAAATCACTATGTCAAGAGAAAATGTGTAAGTGCTGATGTAAAGAGTTTCGACGTTTTTGCTAAGAAATAAAGAAAATGTGTTTCTGTTCTGTTTCTTCTTCTTCTTCTTTTTTTTTTTTTTTGGGGTGGGTGGGGTTCCTTTTCACTGTTTCTGTTAATGTTCATGAAGTGTGGTAGTAGCAGGACAAAACACAAATTTGAAAAGAACTACATATGGGCTTAAGCTTTGCAATATTTACTTGGTGAAAATATACTCATCAATGATTAAAAGTAAATTATTGTACGTAGTATTAAAAAGAAAAATACTAAAAGGTCGATTTGAATCTTAAGAAACAATTCTCTGGATCAAATTTGAATCAGATTGAAAAATATTGTTCACAGGTTTTGTAAGGTTTATTTCTACCATGTTCTATTTTGTTATAAACAAAAAAAAAAAAACTGATTAAAAATGTGATGTGTTTTTGTGTAATTTAAAATAATCACATTATTATACTTGTATCCTAACAAAAGAAATGATAAAGACTTACGTCGAATTTTAGTACAAGTTTAACTGCAAGTAAAATTTAAATTGAACAATTACTTCCGGACATAAAGAGTACAAATTACGAAGATCAATATCAAATATTATTGAGCTGTTTTGTATGGAAATTGAATATAATTAACTAGATGGTATCAGCACGATGTGTGGAATAGATAAATTATGTATATAATCTAACATAATAAAAATTAAAGAAATATTTTATATTTTAGTAAATTGATGTTCAATTTAAAAACACTAAATTAAATATGTTACATCAAAAGTAATTTTTATGCGCTAATTATTTACAGATGAAAATAAAGGGATCCATATATTGGTATACATGTTAAAAATATTTTGCATTCACAATTTGACACCTTTGACCACTCTTGTTGCTTATAATATTGTACCATCCCGAATAAAGTATTAGAACTCAATGAGATGATTCAGATTTCAAATTCACCTTCGGACGCATGAGCCAGACTGGAAATTATGACCAACCTTAGGCAACAGCATCATAGGTCACACAACTGACAACTGATCTCCAGAACCACTCTGCCTCCTCTAATTCATTTGTCTAAAATGCTCCAAAGTAATAAATTACACTATAAGGTAAAATATTTTTTTAAAAAAATAATTGAAGCAAAAGTTTCATATTAATACCTGACAATCAAATGGGTCTGCCTATCAGTGTGCCTTCTAATTTCATTTTTGTGAATCAACATCATATATTTTGTCATGTTGTCCCTAAAAAAAAAAAATAATCAAACATTGAAATCATTAATTTAAGATTGCCAAAGAAACTCACCATGGATGTGCACTTGAAAATCCTTGCTGTAGAAAAAATTTTGCCCACAGCTTGCAAAAATTAGAAGCGAAAAACTTTTGACACAAAAAAATAATGATTATTAAAAAAATAAATCCTAAAAAAAAAGAGAGAGAAGAAGAAGAATAAAAGATTCCGGTGTAACTGGGATTGCAAACCAGTTGAGTTTTATAAGCACACTTTATATATATACATAATAATTTTTGTCACATGATTAATGTGATTGGAGTTATTTTAGGCATGTGTTTATATTTGATTTTTAAAAATAAAGTGAATAGATTCCCTGTATGCAATTATGACACATGATATATATCTAAAAAAATATCATCTACATTTTAATTAATTATTTTCGAGTTTCAAAAAAGTATTAATATTGTTTAATGATCAAACTAATGTGCAATGGTATTATTTAAGCCAATCGAAATCAATCAGCTTTAATGTTGAATTAAAGAATCACTGATGATTTTGTATTTATTATTTTCAAATTTCAAAAAAATATTAATATTTTTTAATGATCAAACCAATTTTTAATAATATTATTCAAACTAATCAAAAAATCTTTTCAAATTAATCAAATTTAATGTTGAATTAAAGAATCACTGATAATTTTGTATTTATTATTTTTAAATTTCAAATAATTATTAATATTATTTAATAATCAAATCAAGACGTAATACCATTTTTCAAGCCAATCGGATAATCTTTTTCAAATTAATCTTATTCAATGCCGAGATTTTTAAAAAATTTCGTTTTCTTTTTCATTTTAAAGAATGCAAAATAGAAAGTTTAGCATACAATTAATTGATATACTTTAATTAATAAAATTGATAACAATTTATTAGCTGGAACTTCAAAAGTCTGGTAGTATAATTGTTATAAATATTTTATGTGTAAATCTATAGGAAAATGACGTCATATGTGTCAACGGAAAGAGAAGTATTTCCACACTTTATCTCTTAGTATTAGTATTATATTATAAATAGATGGGAAAAAATGCTACGGTACATATTAAATCCACGATTACATAAAACCAGAGGCTCGGAATAAAATCAAGCTCAGCGGGACAGGACATGGACGACCCTCAAGAAAATGAAAATCCCCAAGAATTACAGCGCCCCGGAGACGAAGTCGAAGTTGAATCGGAATGGAGAAAACAAGCTTGGACCCAATTGGAAAAGCTCCGGCAAAAATCCCCATTAGTCCAATGCATTACTAACTTTGTGTCGATGGACTTAATGGCCAACGTGCTCTTATCTGCCGGAGCTTCGCCGGCGATGGTTTACTCAGTTGATGAAATCCCAGAATTCACTCCCAAAGTCGACGCTCTATGCGTTAACTTGGGGACATTGACTCCTGATTGGTTACCGTCGATGAAGCTGGCGGCAGAGACTGCAAATAAGGAAGGGAAGCCGTGGGTTCTTGACCCTGTGGCAGCCGGTTGTTCCAGTTTCCGGTTGAAGGCTTGCATTGAGTTGCTTGGGATGAAACCTACTGTTGTTAGGGGAAATGGGTCGGAGATTTTGGCTTTGTTCAAGGGCTCTGTGGACCACACTTCAAAGGTATGTGGTTTCAAGATTGGATTTTTACTCTGTCGAATTTATACATTAGTTTCCTTGTAGTTTCCCTTATGATCGGATGCATAAGGGAAAGATAAGTGCTTTACTTGTCTTGAGTTATTTGTTTATTGTGAGATGATCTCTGATGATAGTTGTGTTAGGATTTGGAAGAAAATTTTGATGGCAGTGGGAAGTTCCCCTGGAGAATTGCTGTGGTTGATGATTTTGATTTGACTTATTGGCAAATTTTATTCTGGAATTTTTTTTACTTTTCCTCTGGATAGACATTTCTGCACTTAAGCAGAACAGTTAAAGAAAATGGAGTGTAGATTTAGGTTCTTGAACAATTTTGCATGATCAAGTGTATCCCACAATCGTGGTTAGATTTCGAATTCCCACAATATTGGAAGCATCTGGTTTCTTTCCAGTTTTACTTGAGAGGGTATGTTAGTTTATTCATTATTTGTTGTTCTTGTACCTTCTGTTCTCTGTGTTCGTTACGCTTTATTAACATGGGAACTCTACCAAATTCTCACCAGAAGACAGTATAAGTAAATGGAAGTTCTGATAAATTTTTTACATTCTCTGACCTTAAAAGACCACTTGCCAGTCAATTCTTGAAGAAGATTATGCTTTTTAAGATGCTGAAGAACTGTGATAGCTAGACCTATTCCTATTCTTTGCCTTCAACAGGTCATAAACCTATGTTATGAGGAAATTTCCTTTTTTGACAAAGAACTTTTGCTTGGTAATACTGGTATATGTTTTTAAGAATTCAACAAAGCTGAAATGTATTTCTTCTGTAGGTAGCATAGTTGTAAACTTAACTGTTTGCTGCATTTTAGCTGTAACGAGAGTCCTGGGGTTAGACTTTGTAGTTTAATACTTGGTGATGCCATGCACATGATATTTAGCTAACTCTTCTTTCAGCTCCAGCAATTTGAGCATGGTTGCTAATCTAACTTTTGTCCAATGATGTTGCTGTTTGTTAAGGGTGCCGACAGCAGACATGATTCTGCAGATGCAGTGGAAGCAGCAAAAGCCGTGGCTCTATTAACTGGAGGTGTAGTTGCTGTTTCTGGAGCTGTTGATTACATAACAGATGGACAACGAGTTGTTGGTGTGCACAACGGAGTTCCAATGTTGCAAAAGATTACTGCAACTGGATGTTCTGTGACTGCCCTTATTGCAGCCTTCATTGCGATTGACCCAGTACATGTTTTTGAAGCAACAGCCTCTGCGTTATCTTTGTTTGGTGTTGCCAGTGAACTAGGAATGAAAGTGGCCAAAGGTCCAGGTTCATTGCGGATGCATTTAATAGATTTACTCCATGGACTTGATCAAGGTACTGTTCTCGACAAAGTCAGAATCACTGAATTGTAATCATGTGAATTTTAGGATGGTGTATATGAAATCATGATTCCTACACTGTTTTGAGGTCAATGATGCATGGCTTGTCGTATAAATTGTTTTGATATGTTCACCTCACAATACTCTTGTTGAAACAATCTTATGGAGCTGGATTGAGAAAAGCAACAAGCATCCAGGATAATCATCAAGCATTACAGCTGAATACTGAAAGATGTTACCATGAATTCAAGAATACATACAGGTGGAAACTTAAAACGGCTTTTGTTTTTGAATCAATGACACATTTATAAGCTGAAATGCATGACAAAGTTTTCACACAAACACACCCACAAATTCCTTTCATTTAGACAGTCTCAGTAGTCAAGATGAATCGTGATCCTCAGCAATGTCTCTGCGCCATCTAGAACATGCTGGCCACTTGGAATGAGTGACCGGAGTTCTGCAAACCCACAAGCATTCTTAAACTTGCCGGTGCCTCCAGTAATGGAGAGGCGTGACATGGTGCTTCCAATCCTGTAGACTCCAAAAAAGTTCAAGCTATCACCATATTCTCCTCCTTCCATCATAGCAGTGAAAACCATCATCTGTGTGCTACCATCAGCAGAGCTTGCTACATACACTCCCTGAGCTCTTCCCAATGGCTGGGTTCCCAACTCAGGTGAAGAAGTCAAGACATCATCTATCACAGTAATAGTTCCAAACCCGAGTCCCAAACCATCAGGTCCTAGTAACTGAGCAGCAGGATTATTACCATTGGCAGCATTGTTCTGGTTCCCGGCAAAAGCTGTACCAGCTAATCCAGTCCCCAAGGGAATGCCATTGATATTAACCGTTGGGATAGCACCATTGGCGTTGGGAATGGGAACGCCGTTCTTTGGAGGATTAAAACCAAGTGGCCTAGCAAAGGGTACTTGGCCGCTGTATATGTTACCAAGCAAACCAGTTATAGGCCTAGCAGTGGGATTGTTTCCTCCAAGAATATCATGCATGAAAAGCTCAATAACTTGAGCTCCACCTGCTGCTGGTGCAGGATTATCTGCCATCACTGTTGTTTCGACAAAAATAGCTGCAAAAAGAACAACTGCACAAAGGAAGAAAGATGGGAAGGATTTCTTAGACATCCTGAAGAGAGTTTTTGATTCCAAGATTTGTTGTGTAAGATGTGTTAAATGATTGAAAGAAGCAAAAGATGTTTTTGTCTAACTCGATTGTGCAGAAGATGTATAAGAGCTTCTGTTTATATACTAATGGTCAGGGATTATTGGAGAATCTAATGGAGTTGTTAAGTGACAGTATAAAAGAGAATGAAGTGGTTTAATTGGGATCATTTGGGGAAAAAAAGGAAACAATAGTGAAGTTGTTGATTCTTACTTAGAAAAATGGAATGTGGTGAAGTTGTTGGAACTTTGAAGCTGGTGGAATGATCAAATACTTCCAGTTCCACCTTCTGTTGTCAAATACTAATGCTGAATAAACTATTACTAACTGAAAACTAATAGTTTCATTTCAACACAATTTATTATTTCGGACACTTTTAGCATAAAACATACTCTTTCTGTCCCATAATTATTGTCCAGTTTGATATTTCACTTCTAGTACAATTTGAGCTAGAAATGGAAACCCAAACTGGATAATAATTATGGGACAGAGAGAGTAACTTTTAACCTATTATTTTTAGTATATCACGCACACACGGTATACAAGTTGATTTTCTTTCGGAACATAAAACTCTTTCAAGGAGTATTTTAGACTAATTTTCCTTTTTTAACGTTCCTTTATCTTCTCCGTACTGGTAAAGTTCCAAAAAAAAAAAAAAAGTTCCAAATATTTTCTGGTAATATGTTTCTATATATATTTGATGGCATATTGGTCCATTGATTCCTAGTTATTTTTTTTCTTTCCTTTCATAAGATTGTACTATCAAATAATTTTCAAATATTTCTCTCCATTACTTTTGTCTGATTGCCCCTCGTTTATTTTTCGTTTCTATTCTCTTAATTACTAGGAACTGTTAAGTAATTTAGTTTCAATTTCTGAAAGATGAATTTACGAGAACTTGAGATTTTTCAAACTAGAGATTTTTATTTTTTTATATTTTGAAATTGTGTAAAAAAAATCAATTTATTAAATCACAATTGGAACCCAGAGAGCATTTTGTAGAAACATTTGATCCCATTTTTTTTTCCTTTACATATTCGTATGGTGTCTACGGTGGACAAGAGTGCAACATTTTGATCCCATCTGAATTTCAAAATAACTACGCAGAATTAGGTGTCGTTCGTCAAAACAAATTTAAAAAAGAATTAATGTGACGAAAATTTTTTTACCTAGTTGGACATAAGTAGTTGTCCCGGATTTTCGAAATTCGAGAGTCTAATTAATTGGACTTTCAGATTTTGGAAACCCAAATCAATAAAAAATAATAAAATATTATTTTTTTTGTTATTTTTTTTTACAAAAGAACCAAGGTCAAAATGTGTACAGTAAACTCAGATTTTCGAAATCCGAGAGCTTTCTGAATATATTTTTTAAAAAACCAACTGCATGGCAGGAAAATTTGAAACTTTGTTTATGGTGGGAAAGTATAAAAATTTAATAAATGAATAGTGTAATCGGATTTCGAAAATCTGAATTAATCTTTTTTAAAAAAAAATGTTTAAGTGCAGGAAACTTTGAAAATTTGAGTTTTGATAGGAATTCGCATTATATTGACATATCTACTTTTTAAAGAATAAGAAATGAAAAATATTGTATTAGATATGATATTAATAAAATCTTTTAATACTAATCATTACTAGGAATTTACATTAAATTAATGAAAAATATATATCACTAGTGTTACGTACTAGTATTATGTCGTACATTAATACTAATACCCATTATACATCACTGGTAATAATTTTATTTATTAATGTTAAATTTGTTAGTAAATTAGATATTATCATTAATTCAATATAATTCATCGGTACTAGTGTTATGTATTATTTTTACGTACTAGTATTATGTAGTACATTAATACTATTACCCATTATACATCACTGGTACTAGTGTTATTTATTACCTTTAAATCTATTAGTATATTAGATATTATCATTAATTCAGTATAATTCAACTGCACTAGTGTTATGTACTATTTGTACGTACTAATATTATGTAGTACATGAATACTATTACCCATTATATATCACTGGTACTAATGTTACTTATTATTATTAAATCTGTTAGTGCGTTAAAGATTATCATTAATTTAGTATAATTCATCTGTACTAGTGTTATGTACAATTTGTACGTACTAGTATTATGTATTACATTAATACTATTACCCGTTATACATCAATGGTACTAATATTACTTATTATTATTAAATCTGTTAGTACATTAGATATTATCATTAATTCAGTATAATTCATCTGTACTTATAATGTTATGTACTATTTGTACGTACGAGTATTATGTAGTATATTAATACTATTACTCATTATACATCACCGGAACTAGTGTTACTTATTACTGTTAAATCTGTTAGTACGCTAGATATTATCATTAATTCAGTATAATTCATCTTTACTAGTATTATGTAGTACATTAATACTATTACCCATTATACATTACTAGTACTAGTGTTACTTATTATTGTTAAATCTGTTAGTACATTAATTTCAAATAACCAAGTTAATTAATACTAAAAATCAGATTTCGAGAATCCGAGTTAAGCGAAAAATCGAAAGGTTCAGATTCTGAAATCCGACTTTTGTTGAAAATCGGATTTCAATCTGAGTTTACGGTTTAGGGTTTATGTTCGCATTTCTCAAATCCGAGTTTAGCTGAAAATCGGATTTCGATCATCTGAGATTACAGTTTAGGGTTTAGGGTTTAGGTACGGATTACCCCAATTCGAATTTAGCTGAAAATCAGATTTCGAGAATCCGAGTTCATCGAAAAATCGAATTTCCAGAATTCGAGTTTAGGATTTAGTTTCGGAAACAATTTCATAACTCAATCCTTATAATGACATGAATATTATTATTAGTGATTTAAAAAAAAATTCATAATAACAGCCTATTTCGTTTTAATGTTATGAAGCGCAATCATTACTCCAATGACTTCTACTAGCAATAATGAACTCTGTTTTTCTCACTGTGACACTGTCTGTGACGATGCCTATAGTAGCTTTGTCGTCGGCAGAATCAAGATGATGATCAAACTTTCTTAAATCCGAGTTTAGTTCAATGTGTCCTGTGTGGGTATGGGCACTACAAGAATTATAAATTTCAGATATTGGTATCAATTTTCTCTTTAAAAAACCATTCCATCTTTTTTTTTTTAAAAAAAAAAAGAAACATAGGAGACTCGGTTCCATAATCCGAGTTTTACCCGAGACTCGGATTACGGTAATTCGAGACTGGTAAACTTCTATTTTTGAACACTTGGATTTTTTTTCGAAAAATGAAATTAATTTTTTTATTACAAACTTTCGGATTTCGGAAATTCGAGTTCAGATTAATTTTAATTAATCTTTTGATTTAATTAAAGTTAATTTTGGTTAGTGAAGGTTCGGATTACTCTAATCAGAAACTTTGTTGTCTCGGATTTCCGTAATCCGACTGCTTCCTTGTTTTAGATTTAGAAAATCCGAGACAACTACTTTTGTCCACCATATTTGTTGCTCATTATTTTTGTCTAGGTCCATTCTTAAAAAACTCGCAGAATTAGTGTATGAAAACCTCTGCAATAGAAAATAAGGGTTCTCTAGTCCTAACGAACAAAATCCCCCGTGCACAAGTATGTAAGTGGAAAACATTATCATATTGACTTGTTATACTATGCACATTAAGTGCATCTAGCTAGGTGCACTTAGACTTTTTTTTGATTATTCAATAACGGAGGGACTTTATGTATAATTATTTAATATATTTTCTTTTTCCTTCTCAATGCACGTGTCCCTTCCCCTTAATTTTTGGAAGTGGGTTTCAAAAATTTCTTTTATTTTCATATGATTTATTTATTAATCCGTAATGAACTAGACCAAGTATCTTATATAATTTTGATAGTACTCGATAAAATCTATCCAACAAGATCCATCACGAATATGTTTTTCGAAACTTTAAAAAATTTATGCAGTTGACTTGGTTTTACTAAAAGACATTCTGGTCTTACTTGTTTCTTTTAGGACTACAACCTACTGAAAAGACCAAAAGGCAAGGCCAAAGACCAAAATTAAATACCAAAGAGCAAAGACAAAAAACCAAAGACCAAAGATCAATGTGAAGGGCGAGCGTATGTGAGGAACAACGACAAAAGACTAAAGACCAAAGATCAAGAAACCGAAGATTAAAGAGCAAAAACTTCGTCAAAGACCAGAGTGACAGACCGAGTGTTATGTGAGAAGCAAAGACCAAACACCAAAAACCAAAGACCAAAGAACGAAGGCTAACGACTAAAGAGTAAATACCAAGACCAAAGACCGAAGGCTAACGACCAAAGACCAAAGACCAAAGAACAAATACTGAAGGCCCACGACCAAAGACCATAGACCAAAAAAATTTACAAAAACTAAAGTCCAAAGAGCAAAGGTCAAAGATCAGAATTAAAAGTGAGCGTGTGTAAGGAGTAAAGACCAAAGGCCAAAGATAAAAAATCAAAAAAAATATTAGTGTATTTAGGGTTTAGGAGAATTTAAGCATTTCCTTGTCAGTTACGGTCTAGTTGTTTAGGATTTAGGATTTAGGGGGGTTTAAGCATTTCCTTATAGGTTAGGGCCTAGTTTGTGCCGTAACACGATTAACCTACAAATTTTTTAAACCAAAAAAAATAATTTAGTGTGTTTAGAATTTAGGGGGGTTTGACCATTTCCGTGTCGGTTAGGGTCTAGTTGTTTGGGTTTTAGGGTTTAGGGGATTTAAGTATTTCCATGTCGGTTAGGGCCTAGTTTGTGCAGTAACACGATTAGCCTTATAAATTTTATGAAACAAAAAAAGAAAAATTAGTGTGTTTAGAGTTTAGGGGGGTTTAACCATTTCTGTGTCGGTTAGAGTCTAGTTGTTTATGGTTTAGGGTTCAGGGGGGTTTAAGCATTTCTGTGTCGGTTAGGATCTAGTTGTTTAGGGTTTAGGGTTTAGGGGGTTTAAGCATTTCCGTGTCGGTTAGGACCTAATTTGTGTCGAATAACACGATTAACCTTATGAAATTTTTTTAAACCAATTAGTGACCCTAGCCTAATTGGTTTTAAAAAATTTAAACAAAAAAAATAAAAAAAATATTAGTGGATTTAAGTATTTTCGTGTCGGTTAGGGTTTAGTTGTTTAGTGTTTAGGGTTTAGGGGGGTTTAAGTATTTCCATGTTGGTTAGGGCCTAGTTTGATCTTTTGACCATTGGTTTTTGGTCTTTGCTCCTCATACACACTCGCTATTCATTTTGGTCTTTGGTCTTTGATCTCTCAGTTTTGGTATTTGGCCTTTTGTCTTTGGTCTTTGTTTTTCACATATGCTCGCTCTTCACTCTGGTCTTTGGTCTTTGATTTTTTGGTCTTCGATGTTTGCTCTTTGGTTTTTGGTCCTCACACACGCTTGCTCTTCACTTTGATTTTTGGTCTTTGGTTTTTTGTCTCTGCTCTTTGGTTTTCGCTTTTTGATCTTTGGTGTTTGCTCTAGGTCTTGGTCCTAAAAGACACAAGTAAGACCATGGCGTCTTTTAGGAAGACCAAGGTAGCTGTATAAATTTTTTAATGTTTCGAAAAACATATTCATGATGGATTTTGTTGGATAGATCTTATCGAATACTATCAAAATTATATAAGCCACTTGGTCTAGTTCATTACGGATGAAAAAATAAAATCATTTGAAAATAAAAAAAATTTTAAAACCCACTTTCTAAAACTAAGGAAGAGTGGTGCGTGTGTTTCACCTAACTCATAAAGACTTGCATGTTTAGCCCCCTTTCCTATACTAATTACCAAGTAAATGTCTATCTGTACCTAGTTATATGTTATAATTTTCGTATCATATTGGACTAAAGGATTTGATCCCCAAATTTGGAAGATTCATTTGCTATGATGGTCTTAAAACAACCAGAAAATTTCCCCATACTAGTGAGTACTGACTCTATATAGATACTACTACACATGAAATCGAACTTGGAACTTGAATTTGTACCTAGTCTATTTCGTTATGGATTTTGGTTAATAGAAGATCATCAACGACTCGGATCCTTCAGTTGACAAACTACTCCTATAAGTTATTAGAAAGTATCGGCTTAATTTATTAAACTAGAAATTACTCTTTTGGTCTTATAATGCATTCGATTGCATATTTGCATTGTTGTAATCAAAAAATTAAAGTACCTATATATATATATATATATATTTTGGGAGAACAGATAAATTATATGATTTGGATTTCCCAACCAGAATTCACAAACCACTTCCCAGAGTCTAATGATTTTTGTTGCGATTTCGCAACAAGGTCAAAAAGAAAAATGGATGAACAAAGTTGATTCAAAGTAAACGTCAAGAGAACTTGCAAATTGCCTGTACTAGTTGTTCAACTTTCTGACTTCTGAGGGCTGAATTTCTGATTTCATGAACCAATTTGCCCAAAGCCTATTGATCGATTTTTGTTGTGATTTGGCAATTGGCACCAATTCAAACCACTCAATTCGATAAGGAACTTGCAACTGAAAATGTCTGAAGCACCTACCATGACCAGTCATTCTAGTCCATTTGATCATTCCAGTCCAGTTGAGATCGCACATCTCCTCCGTTTTTTATTACTTTCTCCATCTCAGAAAAAATAGTCTACAATTTTTAGATATATACTACAGGTTTAAAAGTAAAAACTCAATGTAAACTATCATGTGAATTATTTTTTGAAACACGGGAAGTATTTAATAGGAATATGAAAAATTTTTCATATTACGGAAACATCATAATACTATTTATCTTTATAACTTTCATATCTTTCGTGAAATTCACTCCTCGTCAGACCAATGGCCATTTGTCTAGCACAACAAGTGCACACAACTAACGCCTATTTCTTGGGTGATGATTGATCAGCAACTCATGTTCAAACTTCATCGGAATCGAGAAATATCAAATGCAATGTCAATGCCGTTTGAATAGACACATATTACACTTAAACTAATGTCGTGTTATCAGATACCTGATGCTATCTTTGTTAAGAACATCCCGTAGATGGGAATGTAATCATCTATACGGAAAACGATAATCATACACTGTCATGAAGAACGTAGTGAAGATAACCAATGGTAGCACAATACTACCATGATACACAATGGTGGAGTTTATAGTTTGAGTTTCAGGTCTTGGTTTTAAGAAACTCACAGACAGAACATAAGTATAAGCTGTGGTTAGGACACACAGAACCCCTACAAGTTGCAGAAGTAGGGGTAAACCTGTGGCGGTGCCGAGGTTGTTTCCTCGAACAGTCATCAGGATGATGTTTAATGACAGGATGAAGGACCAAGTGTTGTAATTCACGAGTTGTTTGTACTGATCGGGATAAAGCCGGGCGATGATCGGCGTTACTGTTCTGTTTTCCAGTACCTCAACACCACCAGGTGGGCTAAGCCAAATCTGGAAGCTCATTGTTGCCAAGATTGTGCCCACAATCAGCAATGCCTCCCTGTTTCTTTCATACCAAATGTTTGACAAGTTAACCCAATCCAACAGGATGTGATCTTGTGCCTTCTCGAAATCGCTTCGAATTCCTTGGTCATAATCAGATAACAACAGGTGGAATGCTGTTTTCCGATCTGCATTCTTCAGGTTCACCTTCACCAATCCTCCATTTTTAGTACTTTGTTCCCTCAGCAAGTACTTAGTGATCTGCATAACAAGGCATTAATTAAATATTTCCTCTGTTCCAAAGAAAAGTTCGAATTGAGTTTTGAGATTTGTACGGTTGGACGGAGGAAGAAAAAAAGATCCATTCCCTGAACCTGAAGAGATTCAATCAGAAAAAATAAGAAATTTTAGAAGGAAGAAAGGGTCATAAAATATAGCTACCTGATGATCTCGGTGATAGTATGTGGACAAATGAAGTATGGTCATGCCATCATCATTCTTAGCATTCACAAAATCAGAATCTAATTTCAGCTTGCTGAACAGAAACTTCAGGGCCTCCAGCTGATTATAAATGGCGCATAGATGCAGAATGTTGCATCCCCGGTCTGCCTTCTGTAACATCGCCGCCACTCGCCGCGATACAGTTCCAGCCGGTTGAATAAGAACTTCCAACACTTCCAGTCTGCCCTGTATCGCAGCAAGGTGACAAGGGTTTCTTCCATCTTCATCACGACCCAAAATCATGTACTCAGAAGCTTCATAACCCAAAATCGCTTCCATGAACCTCGCGTGACCTAGCATTGCCGCTATGTGCAGAGGAGTCCTGTAACCGGACTTTAGTGAGTTCAGTTTATCCAGAAGTTTTGTATCTTGCCGGAGTAACTGAGAAAGAGTTGCAACATCATCGTTAACTGCTGCGCCGTAGAGACTTTCTTCCATTTCTTTCTACAAGGATTTATCCTTTATAGATATACTCTTTGAAAGTTTGAATCTATCATATACTAGAAGTTCTTACATTGAATTGAAGTCTATAGTGTAATAATAGTTTGTTTACTCTCTACTTCTTACTTCTTATAGGGAAATTTTCAGTAGCATTTCATATTTTCAGGGATTTGAAGACATTTTTCCAAGCTACCTCCTACTCTACAAGTCTACCACGCGTTCTAGGCGTCAACTATATATTCAATGAGGAAATTTCAATTGCATTTTCTCCTTCTTTCTCTTACTATTTTTTCAGTAGCATTACATATTTGACCGGAAAGGGAACGTGTGGTCCAAGCCTAGTTGGTAAAAGTGAGTTTAGCAAGATTTTATAACGCCAATGAATCAATATTCAAGCAAAGAAGCTTAATTGAAATTCATCCATTATGTTGAAACTTGATGGTGAAGATATAGAAACAGAAATCTTTGCCTGTTTTGCACAATGAAAATGAGACAAGTTCTCTTATTCAACAGGGATCACATTTGTGCAGCATTAACCTATGAAGCTTAAACTTGAAAGTGGTACAAGGTTTTAAATCCTCGAGGAACTTTATACGTATAGGCAAAAATGAAGGACTTATATCTTCTAGGATAAAGGAGTATTATTGCGGAAGCTAGCACTAACTCAAGAACCAATATGTGGAAGAAATGATACAAATATGTAACTGCACTTTTGTACAATAAACATGTGATTCCATATCTTGTTAAGCCGAAAGAGCAGCGGGACAAGGGAAAGGGTCCTTAACAAAGTAGCCAGTGGTAAATGCAGCTCCAGAGGCAATGGCTGCGAGAACAACATAGTAGAACACGGTTTTGAAGTAAGACATGAACCTGCGCTCCCCACGCACGTATGTCTGGGCAATTGAGAGAGTAACAATGCACAGGAAAGAAGCTCCTGCAACTGCCAACAGCTTGAATTCCTTATCATCAGTTGTGCGGAAACTGAAGCCATAGGTCACGGGTGGAATTAGCCCGAAAATGATGTATGACGCCACAGCTACCGTTGTGTGCAGAGGGAAAAGTTCTTTCCTCCCTAGCTGTGCTTGGTACCTCTGCTCACTTGTTTGACTAGAGTCTCCATATCTCAATACTCTTAGCTGTGATCACCAAAAGAACAATCACTTCAGCAATCATGCCATACATTACTTCTTAGCATAATAGTACTAATATTTCTCTGTAGGATAAATGATGGAAATATTGAATTCATTCAGTAAAATAACTAATCTTTTACGCGTCTTAGGCATCACAAGTTCACAACACTTACATTATGGATCAGAAGGATGAAACCACCAACTAGATATGCGAATCCCATAGCCATGACATTCTCTGTAAATATTGAAGTAATGAATTAGTATCATCAAAATGTACAACACGATGCACCGTTGATTGATGAACACGCAAGGGACCAATTCTAGGATCAAAGAAATGCTGAAGTTTCGACAGTACTGATTAAGGCCTTACTTGTGGTAGCATTCAAAGCTGCTGCTAAGGAAATGACAAGCAAGCTCGTAATCGACTCCATCAAACCTCCATAGACAATACTTTTCAGTACATCAAATGATCCAGAGGGAGTTCTTGGTTCAGTGACAACAATTTCGGAAATAGTATCACCGATTGAGACAAATGTCGATTCTTGGATACCAGTTTCGATAGTGCTTTCCACAACTGAAATCCGAACATCAGCTCCTGTACCATAATTTGAAATGTTAAACTCATTGGATTCCATATTTTCTCAAAAAGGAACTCCCATTAAATTTTTGAAAGAAATTATCAGAGCCAAAATGAGAAAACAAAGGGATTTACCATCAGAATGATAACCTCCATCAGTTTGGAGCTTTGGTTGCGGAACTGGTTTTGTCCCAGAAATAAGTACTTCTGCATCAAATTTTAGGATTGTGTTAAAATATTTATTTGGCATATAGTCTGTATTTATAGAAGATCTAGCTCAAAGTTGATTACAGAACAAAAGGCTATTGATCTAGCAAGACTGTACCACTGCATAACAATAAAATTGTTGCATAGTAGAGTTTCAAAATCGGCATTACCTTGTTTTCTATGTATATCAATGATCACATTTCCATCCAATGGTGATCCTTGAGGTGTAGAAGTTTGAGGAACTTTTCCTACAAAAGCAAAATCCAAAAAGAAAAAGAAACCCTCTTAATACCAAGTAAGAAAGGAAATCGTTGGCTGTAAAGTATGTATTTCAGACATCAATTCTGCTAGGAAGTTATATTTCAGAGTTCTACAGTAAGGAATTCGAAATGATGTAGTACCTTGCTCAATGATCTCATCTCTTTGCTTTGGAGTAGTTACAGTTGTAGAAGGTTGTATTACATCTGTTCTGATAAATGCGGTGGGGGAAGATTGTATTTGCGCCGGCACAAGCAATGGCGAAGTTGTAGAATTTTCATCTTCTCTTCTCTTTCTCAAGAACCAAAATAGATCAAATCCTTTTTCTGTATAGATTAAACATGGATCAGGTTAAATTCTAACTTTTTATAAAGTGATATTTTACAGGTCAATAACTTCAAACCAATGTTAAGTGATAAGAACTTGATTAACATATGTTACCTGCTACTTGTGAGGAATCATTAGTAGGAATGGTCACATCTGATATTGGCTGCTCTTGACGAGGCTGATCAACGTTTTCTTCATGTGTTGTGCCTGAACCAATGGAAAAACAAAACATATGATTCAGATCAAATAAGGAAATCAGAAAGCATTGAGGCTGCACAAATGAAGGAAATTTTACCCTTCTCAGTAGCTTCATTTCCTGGCTGAGAAGCAGTCTGAAGTAGTGGGGAAGTTAAATCATGTTCATCCTCGCTTCTCTTTCTTGAAAACCAGAACAGATCAAATCCCTTCCCTGCATACAAAATATTAATTCAAACATCGGTTATCAAGAAGTAAAAGAGTCCGTTGAAACAGTCATCTCTATTGATGTATAACTTCAAATCATAAGTTATAAAACTTTTTTAGCATATGTTACCTTGTTTTTGCGGTACATTATCAAGAGCTAGTACGGTCACATCTGTTGTTGGCTGCTCTCGGCACAACTGATCATTGCTTTCGTCACGGGTGCTTTGAGCTGCAGAAATCATAGCACAGCCTTTTATAGCTTGAATTAACAGAAAGATGATCATAAATCATGCTGCTCATCTCTTGGTTTATAGATAATTTGAATACCTTTTTGATCAAAACCTTCATCACTAGTTGGTTTAGAAGTAACTGCAGTGTCCAAAGAGTTAGTTGAAAGCAGTGGAGAAGTTAGAGCATGTTGTTCATTGGTTCTTCTATTCTTGAGGAACCAAAACAGATCAAATCCCCTCTCTGCATACACCAACAAAGCCAGAGAAAATTGGTCTAAATGGCACAACATAATCAACCAAAATGAACGGTAAAATAGTACGACAAACATGACTCTTATTTTGTGACGGAGACAGTAATGACGTTTACAAATCGCATGATCAACAATGTTGATTACCAGTGATCTGTGCAGAATCCAGTGTGGGCACAGGCACTTCTGGTGTAGCTGCAGGAATGACAACATCTGATACTGGAAGCTGTTCCTCAATCCGAATATTGCTACTTTCACCATGGTCTCTTCCAGCTCCAAATATTCTAAATGGATTCAATCTATTGCCTGCTTAATTACATTGACAAAAAAAAAGTGGTGTTATCATTCTCATCACTAGAAGCAAGTGAAAAAGTTGAATGAGAACTATAGAATTTATATGTAGCAATACCTGAAGGGATGAAAACTCTGAAGCAGGACAAACATCCCAATAATTCCTTACGTTCATTATTATCTGATGCAACTAAAACCTTCCTCTGCTTTATCTTTCGACGAAGAACAACCTTAGTGATTTGACTGCTACAATTAGGACAGTACATTCCATAGCCATCGTGACTGTGCATCTTCTTTACTGCCGTTTCGAATTCCAATTCCACAACTTCCTCATCACTTTCATCCATTTCATAGATCACAGTAGCATCCCTTTTCTTTCTTTTGATTTCTTCGGAAGTTTTGCCTTCATAGTATTCAATCTTTTTGTTCTCAATTGGTGTACCTCGCAGGGCAGCATTCATAAGTACTTCAATGTCCATTTCCCTCAGTCTTGCAGCCCAATCCTCAGTGTTTCCTTTAACATTAATTTGAGATTGTTCAACCACAGTACCTGCATTTTTTTTTCCATGTGATAATTAGAAATTCATAAAGGGCTACAAGCATATAAAGATTATACGATACAAGATCCTCTGTTCTGTTCTCTATGAATAGTGTAAACTGCAAATTCTCAGAATACAGTTGGTGGGACCTAACCTATATACTTTGTTATTTTGGACAAAGTCAAACTATATAATTTGTGTAATTTGTTGCACCTAAACTTTGCATTATATATGCAACCAAAAAATGCACTTTTAAAGTATATTATACCGTATCATCATATCAGTCAAACTCACTCCAAAAGATGTATTTTCACACATAAAACTCATATTCCATCTATCCCAATTATTATTCAGTTTGGATGTTCTCTTTTAGTTCAATTTGTAGTAAAACTAAAAATCCAAACTGGACAATAATTTCGAGACGGTGTGTATAAAAGTACGTCTCAATGAAATTATCTAGGAAAATGATAATATTTACGCATTAGTATTTCAAAAAAAATTGCATGAATTATTTTGGAGGGAAGGAAAATTTGGAAATCTTAATTATAATAGATGTGTTGAAGAAATTATGGGCTGACCTGCATGTGTTTGGAAGTAAACTCTGTTTTCCTCCGGCTTGATGATATCACCTTCCCCGGTGGCTGCTTCCACCTCCACCTGATCATCGCCGGCATCGGAAGTTCCAGAAGAAACCGATGAAGTAGACCCATTGGTTATTGTATCATTAGTCTCATTATCATCACTCGTAGTACGGCTGGTTACATCATGATGACGATCCAGCATCTCTTCCTTGTCGGAAACCGTAGTTCGGTTGACGGCGGTGGAAGGTGGTTTGCGTTTCAACGAATCTTCTTCGTCTTCTTCTGCTTCTTCCGCTTCCACCACCTTCTCGGAATAACCATCCTCCACCTCCACCTTGAAGACATCGCCGTCGTAATGCAGCAGCATCTCTTCTTTTTTAGTCTCTCCTCCGCCGCCATTGCGCTGAACCACCGCCACCTCCTCCTCTACCGCCCACTCTCCGGCCGGCTGCATTGCTGATTCCATCAGTGATCACCGGTGGTTGATCTACTCACGTATTTTTTACAACTTAATAGTTGAAGAAAGCTTTAGAAAATGTAATAATGATTTTCGAGTGGTTTAAAGTTATGGGGGAATTCAATTCTCTTTATATAGGCAAATTCATCATTCACAAAACCAAAAATGTGAGGTCAAATATACCCACATTTTACATTCTTTTTATTAATTTGTTCTTCCCAACCTAACTCCCACTAAATTTCTTTCTGTCTTCTTCGACATTTTTATTTCTCTTCCGTACCAACCTGTCATAAATAACTGCTCCTTTGTTTTTTTTTCCTTTGTAGTCTATATATATACTATTTTAAAATTGAATTTAATTTTAAATTATGCATTATAAACATGATTGTAATCATATTTACTTAATGTTATAGCTAGTGGCTTTTATTATTGGTTACAGCATATGACATACAAATAGTTGTCTTTGTATTACCAGGGCCTTATCTGTCCCTGCTTGGACTGTTATAATTTTTAAATAATCTCTCAGCATACCTCAATCTTATAATATTAGTTTAAATATGTACTAAATTTGATAGTGGTTGATGTTTTGAATTTTTCTAATGAGAATGAACTCCAAACATCATAGTAATAATAACGAACAATGATAGAATTAGTGACTACAAACTAAGAATAAAAATGTAAATTTTTTAAGGAAAGAAAATCTTTATATGGATAAGTGACTCAAAATAAAGGATTTATAATTCTATTTAAACTAAAAAAATAGATACACCTCAATTACTGTATTTTTTTTACTATATATATATTTTTTTTTTCATTATATATTTTCACTATTTTTATGATTGGAATAATTAACCAACCTAAATCTCTAGCCATCTATCGGGCCTTCTCACTCTAAACGGTTTGTTAATCATTATTTTGCCAACTTTTGATTAAAAGAAATGTTTGCATCACGTTTTAGTTTTTAAGTAATGCGCGGCTTCACCAAAAAAAATAATAACAATGGACAAAACCAACTTGTATTTCTTTATTCGCCACCAACTTTTGACTTTTTACCATGCACGTTTCCATGAACCTGAGATTTGTCCCATGATAGATCGATGAGACATTGACAGATTGGCCTGCTCGATCGGCACATTTTTATAATTAATTAAACATGTGAAAATTATTGAGACCTGTGTAAGCTTTGGATATAACAAGTATGTTTGTTTTGTTTTTTTAGTGTATATTTTTAGGTGTTTTTTGTATTGAGAATGTAAAAAAATATATTGAAAATGTAAAAAAGTATACTAGGATGCGATAGTTATTAATATTTTAATTTAAAAATACCATCAAAAAAATAAAACAAACAAAGCCTTATCTTTCAATTAAGGCTGTACTCATACCCCCTCGGCCGCCCCTCTCTCCCTTTCCAACCCTAAAACCCTAAAACAAAAAAACTCCATCTTTTTCCCATCTTTCCACCATGAAAGGATGCGGGAGATAATTCTGTCCCGATACTTACACTTTTTATTGTTGTTTAATTTATTTTCAATAAGTGAGATTATAGGCATGACGGCGACTTCCTTATGGATGTTCGTTGGTATGGCGGCGACTTCCACGGTGATGTTCGTTAATATGGCACTATTTTTGTCGGTGATGTTTGCAGGTACAGCGACGGGTTCGTTGGAGTTCACTCGTATGGTTTTAAAAGATTCATTCATCATAGATTTAGTTGTTAGATCTATGATTTGGGAGTTTCAACTGAATTTTAGTGTTGTATCTTTGTTTCGGCGCATGATACAACCATTGCTTGATAGGGTAGATCTATATAGGTTTATCCATATGAAACACAATAAAGTCACTATGATTATGGCCAATTGTATGTGTTTTTCTGGCTGTATCTTTTCTTATCAATCGCTGCTGGACGGTTTCCAGTAAATTAATAAATTTTATTTCTCAAAAAAAAAAGCTTATCTTTCAATTATGGCAATGTGAAACATGCATGCAGAAATTCACAATTGAATTTAGCAATTATTTTTTTTTATTTTTCAAGTTGAATTTGTAAAAACTCTTTAGAGAAGTAATTTTTTTGATGAATGAAAAAGGTTGATGGTGAAAACTTATCGTAATTCTTAACTCATCGGGATAACTATAAGAGGAAGTTTTATTTCATCAAACGATCAAGAATTCAGAGAAACGGGATCTAGGGTTCTTAGAGTCGACATCATCGAAGAAAATTCAACTGTATAAACTGTATTATCTAGAATGATTCGTATTTTTACATGAGACTTATATGCCTTAACTTAGTTGACTAACTAGTCAGACCTATTCTAATTATAACTAAGTCCTGTATGTATGTACAAGTATACAAATCGGTACAACTATTTACAATTACAACTATTTACAATCAGCTCCTTATTTACATGTATCTATCATCCCTCCCTCAAGTTGGAAGAAGATCAATCAAACCCAACTTGGAAAGGAAATCTGTAAACTGAGGCGCAACAAGGGATTTTGTGAAGTAATCAGCAAGCTAATCCTTAGTACTAATGTGATGAAGCTGAAGAAACTCATTCTTGTAATAGTCGCGAACGATGCGACAATTGATTTCCAAATGTTTCGTGCGCTCATGAAAAACAGGATTCTCGGTAATATGTTGTGCCGCCTGATTGTCACAGTGTAAAGGAACAGGAAAAGTGGGAAATACCTGAAGATCATGCAGTATAAAAGAGATCCATCTCAGCTCTCGAACTGTGGTCCCCAAGCTGCGATATTCAGCTTCAGCTGAGGAAGCTGAAACTGTATCCTGTTTCTTTGTCTTCCAGAAAATCAAACTGGAACCAAGAAATATGCAGAAGCCTGATAAGGAACGTCGAGTTACTTTGCAGCTGGCCCAATCAGAGTCACTGTAGGCTACCAAATCCAAAGAGGAAGAAGAATGTACTGAAGCCCTTTCGATGGACTGCCCTTCAAATAACGCAACACATGCATCACAGCATCCCAATGAGCTTCTCTAGGGGCCTAAGTGTGCTGAGTGAGTTGTTGAACAACGTAAGTAAGATCGGGTCTGGTAAACTCTAAATAAAGGAGCTGACCAACAACAGTCATGTAAGCAGCTGGGTCTGAAAGCAAAGTACCACATTCCTTTTCTTCAGGGACGAAATAACCCTTTGGCAGAGGAGTAGCATTAGGTTTGCACCGCAGTAATCCCATGTGCTTGAGTATATCAAGCATTGTGCTGATTAAGATACAACCCAGAAGAACTTTGCGCAATCTCGATCCCAAGAAAGCATCGGGCAGGACCAAGATCTCTGATAGAGAAAGCCTAGTGCAGGAAATTCTTAACACCAAGAATGGCCTCTTCTGAGGAGCTGGTGATAAGTACGTCATCTACGTAAACTAATAAAGCCAAGAAAGCATCCTGATAATGCATAGTAAAAAGACAGGGATCACTATAGGACTGAAGTAATCCAAACCTCTTGAGTTGAGCAATAAACTCAATATGCCACTGCCGGGAGGCTTGCTTCAATCCATAAAGGGAGCGAATTAGGTTACACACCCATGATAGCTGGCCTTTGATGTATCCCTTGGGATGTTTCATATAGGCATTTCAGAAAGATATCCATGCAAGAATGCATTGTTGATGTCGATCTGATGAAGATACCAATTTCGAGCAGAAGCTACAGTAAGTAGAACTCTCAGAGTCACCATTTTCGCCACAGGCGAAAAACTATCGATATAGTCTATGCTTTCAATTTGGTTGTACCCTTTCGCGACTAGCCTAGATTTGTATCTCTCGAAAGTCACATCAGACTTATACTTAGTTTTATAGACCCAATTACAACCTATGGCTCGCTTTCTAGGTGGTAAAGTGGTTAATTTCTAGGTATGGTTGGCTTCCAAAGCTTTGAGTTTAGCATTCATGGCGTCCACCCATTCTGGTTGAGATTTAGCTTGCATATAGTTTATAGGATCTGGTGCTTGACTAATGTTGGATAAGAAAGCTAAGTAGGCTAGTCGAAAACAGGGTTTTGAAATATATGGAAACGTATTTGGAGTGTAAGAGGAGGAAGTTGGAATGGCTGATAAGTATTGTGTAATATTACTGAACCAACATGGTAATCATGAATATTATTGTGTAATATCATTAATATAGGGAAACGTATTTGGAGTGTAAAAGGAGGAATTTAGAATGGCTGATAAGTATTGTGTGATATTATTAATAACATGTGATGCATGTGGTAAATCAACATGGTAATCATAAAATTTGGTAGGAAGATGTTGGATTCTAGTACTACGCCGTAAAAGAGGGAATGAAAAATCAGTAACAAACATAAAATCAGGCGAAGAATCAGGTGAAGTTTTGGGATTGAGATCATCCTGATGCGGGGAAAAAGAAGGATCCTGAGAGTCATTCGGATGATTAAAGGTATTAGATCGAATGTATCGGGAGATGTTACAGGCTGAATGTGGGGAGCAAAATGTATATAAGGGGAATCATAGTAAAGAAAATTGAAAGTGGCAGTAGGTGGTGATGTGAGCTGAGAAGATCTGGAGCAGGAGACTGATAAGGAAAAACATGTTCTCTAAAAATAACATCTCTGGAAATAAAGATCTTCTTAGTACTGAGATCATATAATTTGTAGGCTTTTTGTCCCGATGGATAACCTATGAAAATGGACTTAATGGCTCTTTCATCAAATTTATCCCCTCCAAGGAAGATTATTTGTGGCAAAACACAAACAACCAAAAGTTTTTAAATGGAAAAAATCGGGGATTTTGTGTGTAAGTAGCTCGAATGGTGTTTTCCAATCTAAGACAGGGGATGGTAGTCGGTTTATTAGGTATGTTGCAGTAAGAACTGCTTCACTCCAAAAACACTTAGGAAGATGGGATTGGAAGAGTAAAGATCGAGCCATTTGAATTAGGTTTTGGTGTTTTCTTTCAACAACACCGTTTTGTTTGGGGGGGGGGTATATACACAAGTTTTTTTTTATGTATTATCCCCAAAAAAGAAAATAAGGCTTAACAGGCATGACTCATGAATTCAGAGCCATTGTCTGATCGAACAATCTAAATTGATTTTTGGTATTGAGTAAGTACCATTCTGCAAAAATTG